CACACACACACACACACACACACACACACACACACACACACTGTGAGGCTGACAGTGCAGAGGAAGAAGAATGCTTCGTCATCTCCTCTCCTGGTTTTCAGACAAAGACGTCTCCAGAAGGCTGCAGCATCACCGCAGGAGCATAAAAACAAAGTGAGCAGCAGCAGCAGCGTCCAGAAACGTTAAAGACGATAAAATCAAATCTGTTGAAGCTGAAAAACGTGGCGTCGAGGGTGTCAGAAAACAAACATGTTTAAAAGATTCATTCAGATTCATTTTTATACAGATTTTGTGTTATTTTGGACTTATTTTGTGCAATCTTTAACTTTTTAGGAGTAATTTTTTACTGTCTTTGAGTCATTTTGACCAAACCTTGAACTGCAAATAGCCATAAAACTTAACTAATTAAAAATAAATGAATAAATAAAAACAGTTGAAAGTTTTTGTTCAAAAATACATTAAAAAAATTATAGACGATATTTTCTTTTTTTCCCAATAGATGAAAGTGTTAAAGTCAAACCTAGCACTGTAAATTTGTATATAAATATATAGAGATTTTCTTTAATGTTTAATTTTTTTAAAAGAAAAAACCTTACAATAAATAAAAAACAATAAATAAAAAATAATACTTTCTTTAAACAAATACACATAGAGTCTAATGTAAAGTTAAAGCTGTAAAATATATTTTAAATATGGAAAAATCATGTTTTGTTTTTTAAAAAATGTACAGATTTTTTTTTTTAAATACACAAAAGTGCAGTTTACAAGTTAAATATAAATTAACATTAAAAACTTTTAACTGTGAATAAGCAGAAAATTTCCATTTTTAAAAATTGGTATTTTTTTTGTTTAAATATACAGAAAAATATATTTATTTTCTTTTTATTTAATAGATGAAAGTGTTGAAGTCAAACTTATATCTTTTTTTAAAATACCCTTACAGAAAATAAAATAAATTAAAAAATTAAACAACTAAATACACTCACACAATCTCATAATGTGACATATTTTATGTAATTTTTAACCATTTTAAAGTTATTTTGGATCCTTCTGAGGCGTCTAAAGTCACTAACATCTGATGTGTGACGTGTCTGAACAGACAAAACTCCAGTTTTTACATATTTTGATGTTTTAAATGCCAAAATGAGTCCATCTGGACCGTTTTTGAGTCATTTTTAGCTCATTTTGTGTCATTTTGAACAAGGTTTTAGGTTATTTTGGAGTTACTTTGGACATGTTTGACTCATTTTGGACAAAATTGTTTCAAATGACAAACACATTTTTAATTCCTGTCCCTTGATAAACTTCTAGGAACACAAAACGTGACGCCTATAGAGGCACATGTATGGCATCATGTTAAAGTTTAACCCCAAAATGTTCATTTATATGCACTTAAATCTGTCAAACAGTCAGATTGTGTTGTTAATGTTATAAACTGCAGCTGAAACCTGAAAGACCTGCAGAACGCTTCACAGAGGAGCTGAACATGTTGGATTCACATGATAAAGGAGCAGTTTGCAGCTTCTGTGTCACAGTGAAGGCAGAATAAAATGAGAGTTTCTTGAAATCTGAAGCTTCCTGTTTACTGTAAGTGTTTGTTTTATTTTAATTCTGCTGACATTGAGGTGCAGGACGGGTCTGATGCAGCAGATATCGGCAGAACGTCTCCCTAATGGAGGCAGAGGAAGGTCTCCAAACCAAAAATACAGCAGAGGACGAGCAGCGGGAGGCGGCTGAAGGTCGGACGGGGGGTCGGAGGCGTCTCGGGTTTGGGGGATGTAATCAGATTATTGCTAATCACCGATCTGCTCTGGCTGTGGTCTCAGGAACTCTGCTTCACCGCACGAGCTGCTCCACAAACCAACAAACACACTCCTGACGAGGACGGTTTGTAGGATGATGAGCAGAAAATAACCTCCACAACAAATTAACTCAAAGCTTTAATGCTCGAATTAGTGAAAAAGCTGAGTGAGATTTTATTTTAATTTGTTCTGCTTCTCCCAAACAAGATTTTTCTTTCAAAATAAGATATATTTTGAGCAAGACCTGCACGTCAACAGTTTAAAATGCACTTTAATGCAAAACAGAAGTTTTTAACTAACAGATGTCGCCCTGAACCGTCCCCTTTTATTTACTCACATTAAGACAGTTACTGTTGTGTTGCCAGTTTTCTGTGTTTAATTATGCAGCTGAGGGATTATCTCGTTAAAAAA